AGTCGATGATGGGCGCCAGGTCGGGATTTAAGGCGCCGCTGGCTCCGGTGGCCGCACCACCAGCTGCAGCACAACAGAATAAGGGAAAAGAAAAGGCGAAAGAAAAGAGCGCGCCCTCGCTTCTCCTGGGGTACGGCGATGAGGAGGAGGACGAGGAGGAGGAGGAAGGGGCGCACGCACCGCCGCCCTCCCCGGCCGCCTCCGCCAAGCGAAAGGCCCACGAAGTGACACCCTCGTCGTCTTCCTCTTCCTCTTCGTCGTCGACTTCTTCGTCGGCGCTGCCGGCGGGTTTCTTCGATGCCGCCGCCACTGCCACTGAGGCCGCTGATGTCCCATCGCCGAGCAAGAAGCTCAAGGCCGCGGAGGCGCCCGTGGCCAAGAAGGGCGCGATTCCGGCCGATTTCTTTGACGCCGCTGCGGCGTCGTCCGCCCCCGCCGCCGGCCAAGTCGTGATCGAGGCGCAGGTAATACACACGCCTCTCCCCCCTCCCCCGCTGCCATTGATATCGCTGATCGAATGCTCGGTTGGTGTGTCGTGTCGCGTGTGTCGTGTGCCGTGTGTCGTGTCGTGCGTTGCTTGTGGTGTTTGGTGCGCCAGGCCAAGCCGAGCGGGGATGCGGAGAGCAAGGGGGCGCTGCCGACGGGCTTCTTCGACGATCCCAACAAGGACTCCCAGATGCGGCCCAAGGCCGCCGCACAGAAGCCCTCCCTCGAGTACGTCTTCGTTATTCATTCTTCGTTCTTTCTTCGCTTCTTCGTTCTTGTTCGTTCTTGTGTTGGCTCATCTCTGTTGCGCGCAGGGACGAGTGGGAGAAGTTCCAGGCCACGATGACCCAGGTGGCCGAGGACGAGGAGAAGAAGAAGCGGGAGAGCGAGAACCTGGCGCAGCTCGAAGACCTCATCGGCGACGAAGAGGAGGAAGCCGAGGAGAACGAAGAGGACGAGGAGATCTCGCTCGAGTTTCAGCGCAAAGGTATTCTATTGGCCCGTTACCTCTTCGGTCGAAAGATCGTGACGTGCTGGTTGGATAGTTTTGTCGACTTACACACACACACACATGTGCGAACGTACAGAGGAGCG